CAGACTCAACAGTCTTTCTCCTCAGAGAATTAGTTGACTATAATTGATTGAAAGTAATTAATTAGCCATTATTAATTAGAACTTTTTCTTTTTCTGGTACTTTGCGTTGAAAAACTATTGTTTTAGTAGAAAAGTGACAATGTTCAACTGCTTATCAATTAATATATTCGAATAATCCTGTGTTTTTGTAATAAAATAATTAATAAATATATGTAAACTTTGAGTTCGTCTATCCGGAGAAGAAGGGTTATATGTAACTTTATAGTCAAGTTTTATCTCTCTGCGATAAACACTGGCAACTAGGGACCTACCGAAAGTCTCAGTCTTGATCACTATAAACTAGGATAACCAAAATCTAAATGATACTGACTTAGATCGAAATAAATCGACACATAGCTTTATTAATATATTTTATTTTTTTCTAGATGTTGTTGTACCATTTGAAACTCTTAAACAATGTGTTATTAATTTATATAAATTAACACATATAACTATTCAAGCAAGTGGTAAATATGATTTAATTAATGAAAATCAATGGAAAAATTTTATTTTAAAAACAAATATTATTAAATTTAATTTTAAATTTCAAATTTTTAATTCCAATTTAAAATTGAATGAAGATCTATCAATATTACTTGAATAATTTCGTTCATAATTTTGGATTGAACAAAAACATTGTTATGTTGGAATTTATTATGATGAAGATAATCAACTAACATTTTTATATATTATATCTCGATTTCGATTCAAAGATATAACTTATCCTTCAGTAAATTTTTCATATAAAACAACTGCACCATCAAATATTGAACAATATTATTTCTATCAACATAAAATTGATTCTTTAATAATTGATATTGATAAATATTTTTAGTCCCACCAAATCATCGTTTTACACAAGTTATATCATTAATACTTTCTGGTTCAATACTTATGTCATTAGATATTCTTAAAACAATAATTGATTTAAATCAAATTGAAACATTAGATGTTTATTCAATTGAATCTTTATCAATAAATGGATTTTATGAATTAATAAAACATCTTCCTCGATTAAATGAACTTACAATGGAATTTAATCCATTAGTTGTTGTACCATTACAAATTCATATTCTTAGATTAGAAGATGATAGTCGAAGAATAACTATTGATACTCTTTATCATACAATACAAAATGTTAAAACTCTTGAAATTCCAAGAAATTCAAGAAATATGATGATTGATATTATAGATCAACTTAAAAATCTTGATAATATTATGTTTACACATGATGAATTTTCTCAAGATGCAGATACGGATTTCTTCCTTAAGAAATTATCTTTTCGTTGGTTCGAAAATAATTCCTATTGTCTTGCAAACCAATCATTTTACATTTCGACAACGAGAAGAATTTTCATATGTTCAAATATCAATTGGTGGTCCAAAAACTGAAATATATTCAAAATAATAGACATTATTTGATTCAATAACTAAAAATTGTTTAGTTACTTTTTTTGTCGATATTTCGAAGAAGTTATAGAGATTTTTTTTGTTTTGTTTTTTGAAAGATATTCAAATAAAGTTTTTTGTTAATGATTAGACTTGCTTCTTCGTTCATTTTTGCAAGCAGCACTATATACAATTAATATACTGTAACAACAAAATAAGTTAACTTTTGATAAACGAAGTTCTTCTTTTTCTTAAACTTTTTATAATCTATCAGATAAACATTTTATCGAAGTGAGTATTACTTCTATTTCTTTTTTATTGTATTATAGGCCTCTTCATTCTTTTCATGTTTGTAATTTCCATCAAACTAGCAGTGCAAATGAGCCTATATCAATTCCATACTAATAATGAAAATGGAACACAGGAAGAGTCAAAAAGAATCCGATATGATTTCCAAGAAATGATAAATTCTTTCCAGACGAGAAGCATCTTGCTTTACTATGCAAAATTTTGTCTATCGATCTCTTGTCTAATTTTCAAGATCTTGTGTTCCAGACAATAACATACATTTTTCTGCTATCTTCTGTAAAAAAAACGCACATTGTATATAATTAGTTCGTCTAATTGATAATTTCTTTTAGAGAAAAATGAAATAAAAGCACGTATTTCCTTACTTGTTACTATAACTATTAAATACTATAATAGTTCTCTTTACTGTCTTATTGTTTCAAAGTATCGCTAACAACCAAGTAGGAAAAAAACTAAAAATCAGAAGATTTGATAATCCTGATAATGATATGAAAAGGATGGGAGTATGGGTTTAGGTGTGACTATACATGAAAACAAGACACACACACACTCGCATTCTGAAGACTTCATCAATATAAAATATTTATAATGAGTTAAATTGAATTTAAGTGGAGGATGAAAATAATTTTTAAGACGTTTTTTTAGAGAAGGCCACTTTCGTTTCCATAGAGTACTCAATACATATTGTTTGAAAAACCAATCAACAGTACTAAAATCGAAACGATAATTTTCATGTTGAATATCATAAGCATTAGTTTTTGGTAATGAAGGACATGTTTGCTATGTTTCTATCTGTATCTTCAATATTTTGTAAGATAAAAACATTAATTAATACCATTATCTCTTCATGTACAGTTTTTTCAATAAAATATTTTAAATTTCCATATGCATATTTATGACAATTAGCATAGACATAAATTAATAAAATATGTGATTTGACATTATAATCTTAAAATTAGAGTAACTGCGAATATATACGACTGATAGATGAACTATTTAAAATAAGTGAAATGTTTCGGAAAGGAAACAACAAATAACAAACTAACAATGAGTATTGATGGAAATGATATGACACGATATTTGTTCCATTCCATCAGATTCCATGAATACGATTCTGAAAAAACAACTCACAAATGTTTTATTTTTGCTTGTGAGGGAAAATATGATTTTTCTCATGATATTTGTTATGGTTTATTCGTTATATAGAAATTGATTTTGACAAATACTTAAGTTTCACTCGACTCCTTAAGTTATTAAATTTCCATTCTTTTAAATAAAAATATTGAAGAATTCCTATGCTTGGAGACATATAAAATGTTAGAGATTGGAACCAACGTTTTCCTACGAAAATTCGAATGATAAAATCTCTACTCATAGTTTAGTATAAAAGAAAAGAGTAAGAAGTAAAGTAAAATATGATTTAGATGACTACTTCATCAATCTTTTCATTGATTGTATGTGGTTAACACATAGCAGAAAAATGAAATCTAAGACTACTATATATCCGGATAAGTCCTATTTGCATTCTCAATTTTTGAATATATGATGTTGGTATGTTACATACTCTATAGATATTGATATAGTTTCTCACATGGTAACTCATGATTTAGTACCGAAAGAAAACAAAATCAAATACTGAGATAATTCAGTGACAATATTCATCAATCTAATAATTTAATACAATATAAAATTGAATCATGTAAGACAATTGTGTTCCTAACTTGAATATTCTGTAGGTTATATTTATGTAAAACGAATCATCTGATCATGTACCTATTGAAATATACAATCGATTAGTTCATCAAAAATTCGATGCCGAAACAATATTTCGTTCGGCTAACTTTTTTAACAGTTTTTTATTTCATTGCAACTGTTGTGCACTGATAAAATTTTCAGTTTTCAAATTTTTTCTTTTTAATAAATCACATCTCACATCAATTATGAATTTAACCAGACAATGTCGACAAATTTGCCATCTTCATCGAATTTATGAACAAGTGAGGATAATAATTTAAATAATACTTTCACAATTTTGCATTCTTTCTTCTGTAATAAAATAAATTATCTCCGGTTCTCGATTGTTCGTCATTTAAGAGCACACGAAACAATTGTCAGTCATAATATCAACATCTGCTCGACTATTCCAGAACTTCTATGAGCGAATAGAACTACATCATATTGTTCGTTTTTGATCAGATTATTTACAATTCGTTGAAAAGTATTATCTTCGTTCGATTGTTTTGCATCCTGTAACAAATATTCTTGATGTATCATTTTCAATATTTCCCGTTTGAATTATTTGAATAAATATCTCACGATCAGTAGAAGGTTCAATTACTATAATTATACTGGATATATGCACAAAAAGGTATTTTCAATTTTTAGGAATTGTGAAACAAAAATGAGTAAATCCAGCACAACTTGATAACAATCCATATTAAGATAGACTGATAATTCATCAGAATAAAGGTATTGTAGTAATCTGAACATACGAGCGAGAGTTTTGATAAATCATCATTTAGATGTGTTGATATTCGCAAATAACAGTTGGTTAACTGGTTTAGTAAAATTGAATTGATGCAAATTATTGTCATTACGTTCTAGACAAGCTTCTTTGGTAAGAATGAAGGATTCAATACGTTTGATGTCAATCATAGATTTAGCATTGAAGACTGGCTCACGTCTACAGTATTGACATAGTATAGATTTCTTCATTTTCCGTTGTTTTCAAAGATATCGAGAGCTTTTGAGATATTTCGCGAAATGATCTACATCATCCACATTTTTGCATAAAAAAAATCGTTGAATAAATGTAAGCATCTATCAACAAGAATATTATTTAGTTGTTGATATGAACCAGAAAATGTTCGAAATATATTACAAGCATCTGTAGAGTATTATAAAATTAGTATTAAGATTTCATCAGATAGTGTTTTTGAAAGGTGGATGACAAGGATTCCATGTGTTTATGTTGTTTTTCTAAATATCAAAAACTAAACATTCACTATATCGTTTCTCGTACATTTTATTGAATCATATCTGTCTCGTTATTTAGTTAATTCATCATCTTTTTTCTTTTCTACTTCCTGCGCTATATGTTTTGAAACTTGCTGATGCTAGTACAAGACAGATGAATGAGCCAACACATAAAAAAGAAGTAACTGATTATTATTTTGCAATATTACGAACTTTTGCACTTTATATAACAAATGTTTTATTTTCTTAGTTAGATCTGTATTTGTCTTAATGTAGAATATGTAATTTCAGTTTCATTATACAATCACATCTTCAAGATATAGAAGACAAGAAAGCATTTCGTCTTGTCCATATTAAAGTACATACTCAATAATATGTCAAGTTTGTCTTCATGGTTGTTCAACATAAAAGTAAACATACAAAAAGTTTCTTATTTTCATTATTTCCAAATAGGTACTTTAACATATTGCCCATGTCGTCCTTTTTTCAAGTAACGCCGCTATAACGTCAAAACGCCATTTAGAGGCATTATTTTGCAATTTAATGCCGCTAAGTATCGCAATTATTTCAGTAATATAGCGCCGCTATAACGATCAAAATTATTCTAGCAATATAACGTCGCTAAGTATCATACTTTTTCTAGCACTCTCTACGTCGCAATAACGGTATCAAAATGCCATTATACTAGTTTCATCTTTAAGTTTAAAAAATTTATTATTTGAAGGTGTATTGTCGTCTTCAAAATGTTGATGATTTGATTGATCAAAATAATCACGATTCAGAGATTTAGCAAATTGCCGGATCTCCTGTCTTCACTTTTGTGATTTATTCTCAGCACTTGAACTTTTATATGCATCTGAAACTAAAGAGAAAATAGTATTTGCTGAACTTCTAATTGATTATTATTGTCGAACAGCATCGAACATTCATAATATAATTATTTATCGATTTTTTTTCTTTGTATGCATATCTTCATTTAGCATACCAGTTCCATCTACATGGTGGTTTAGCACATACACCAGTGTTCGTATTTGAATCATTAATTAGAAATATATAACAAAGCCCCCATCTAAGTTTCAATCTCGCTCCTCAAATCATATATTGGAGCAATATACGATACACAGTGTGATCGAACAAGTCTAAATTACCAAAAAATTGCCCCATAAGCGTAAATACTGCTTAGAAAAAAAATTGTATTTCGATTTTGCCTTTAAAACAAATATTTAGTTTATTTCATTGAATAATTACAATAAGTTAAAGACAGTAATGATTATATTTTATTTTATTTTCCTTCTGACTGATAGATTGAAGCGAGTTGAATGTTTTCTCTCTTCTCAGACAGAACAGACGAGAAAAAATAATCTCTTTGAAAATAACTACTCTATCCAAATTTATCCCATTGTTTATCAACGATAAACGAACTTTATGTCTCATACTTCAATAACTCCTAGCAATATTCATTAGCAGGAACGTTTCAAAATGATGATATAATTTATATACATGAATTAAATAAGGATGGAAAAGGCTTTAAACAAACGACAAGTATGGTATTTTTTATTATTTCGTTAAAAATCGTTACAAATTGTTATACAGAGAATCCATCAATTACTATATAAATCAAAGCCAGATTTATATAACAGCGGAGTTTATAATCTAGTTAAAATAGAAAAAACAGATTCATCATTTGTTTTCAATGAACGCAGACTAAACATGAAACTATTAACTCCAAAGACTCTAAAATTGCGTTGAAAAGTATTTTTCAAGAAGTTTCGACTAGCTTTTTATTTTTTTTACGTAAAAAATTAATGCATCAATATTTTCTTTTGAAAATTTAGATTTTATTCTGAAGAGATTAATTAAATTACATTTCTAATATTTATGAAATGCTCATCTGAACTGGTATACGCACATATGAATATCAATTCAGGTACTTATTTTACTTGAAGAATCAACTAGCGTCGATAATGATGATTCTAAGGGTGGGTGTGGGTGTGGGGTGTGGGTGGGTGTGAGTGTGGGTGTGGGGTGTATGTGTGGATGGGTGTAGGGTTGGGTGGGTGGGGTATGGGGTGTGGGTGTTCTTCTCTCAATCAAAATTAACCCACGCCCCACACCCACACACACCCCACGCCCACACCCACACCCCACACCCACACTCACACCCCACACCACCCACACCCACCCACCCACACCCACACCACCCACACCCCACACCCACCCACACCCTCTTTTGTTCACAAATAACCAAAGAGAGTTACTATACTAATTATATTAGTATCAGTCTTTATTAAATCTTTTCGAAATGCTCAATATTTACAACGACCTGTCCACGTAAAACGTGATTCCGTCACACTTTATTTGTTGTATTTCATACAAATGACTCGATCTCTAGAATCCAATGCATTTGCAATCTTGGACAAAAAATTGTGTTTGTCAGAATGAGACACTGCAAATTTGTCTGTAACTTCTCATTCATTACAAACGAGCGTGACGGAATCATCTCCCTCCGTGGACAAGTCGAAAACAATTCTTAAGTAAACCTTACGAAACACGTTTTCTTTCAATAAAAATGTGGTGAAATGAGTTTTTAAGTAAGAAGAATATATTTTTTGTTACACTTTGATGTTTTACATTAGTCTAACTTCGAATTAGGTCTAGATAACAGCCTAGCAGCCTAAAAATTTCCAAGACTTTGATTTTAGTCTTGCCATCATAAAATCCTGGGTCATGATTTTCGCGTACAAAAATAGTGAAAGGAGCAAAACTTTCAAGTGCTATTTCATATCATTTCCAAAGTAATTTTAAAGAATTTACTTTGCTTAACTCATATGCTTTGTGTTGGTGAATTTCTGCAAGATTCTGTATGCAGAATGGATATATTTTGCATCATTCCAAGCAAAACAATACAACACACATTTGAAAAAGAAACGCGTTTTACGTTTCCCCCAATTTGTATCTGTGGAACGCGTCGCCTGTCGACCAAAGTGCGTTCGACAGCATTTTAATTCGGAAACGCCTCGAAATGCAATCTTGAAAAAAGCGTTTCGGATCGTTTCAAAAAACGACTGTGGCAAAACGCATTTTATGTAAGTAAGAATGCTGCGAAACGCGTCCTATATTGCAAAAACGTTGCGAAACGCATGCTACAATCTCGGAAACGCGTTACGCGGTTCGTTTCCTTCAATATTTTACTCAATGGGTTCAACTATTACTATTTGCATGATTCAATTATTAAAGAGAAATCAACTTTTCCTCTTAATGATATTCATTTTTCATGCGGTCAAGTGCATTCTTTCCAGTATGAAATTTTTCCATCTGAAAATCAAGTATCGCCTCACTTTACGTTCCCCAATATTCACAAACTTGACCTGTACTTTCCTATGGATGTTAATTTTTGGTCAGTAATACCTCGACTAGATCATTTGAAATCACTTATAGTGAGTATAACTGATTGTGTTCAGAAGTTGGATACTGAATGCCAATTGCAAACCATTTTGGATCGAACACATCGTTTATATACTCTCAAATTTGAATATTGGCCGGAGACTTTTATAGATATGCCACCATTTAATTATTCAAGTAATTCAGTTCGTCGACTTGATTTACAAAATATTGATCGACCTTACAATCATCGTCAGTGTATTATATTGAGTCGTTCATCATTAGGCAAACAATGTGAAGTACTTTCAATTACAGTTAAATATCGAAAAAGTATACTCTATCTTCTTCGTAAAATGACAAATCTTCGAGCATTGAATTTTGTATCTCAAGAAGATCCATGGACAGATCGAAATAAAGATTCCTCATCTTTGTCGGATGAAGATGATCGTACCGATGACGAACTTATTGCGTGGTTAAAAGATTGTTTACCGTCTACTTATACGATTACGAGATGTACTGAACAAATTATTCAATGGGGAACTTTGACTATTGGCAGCCTGTACGATTGTGGATTGGCTGACTAGTAGCGGCGCCAGGATTTCAGTTCAGGGTGGGCTCATCATGGGTTGAGCCCACCCTAACCCACACAAAGTGTTCTTTTTACATAGCTTTCAAAATCTTTCAGGGTGGGCTCGATGTAAATCAGGGTGGGCTGAGCCCACCCTGGCCCACCCCTGGCGCCGCCACTATGGCTGACTCATAAACTAATAGGACAAATAGGGATAATAATATTACAAACATATTTTTCAGAAACTATGTGATTCGGAGTGGATGTGAATGCGAGTGGGAATTCTGAAGAAAAAAAATCACAATTCACACCCACTCCTTCATGCATCTGATAATTGAAAAATAATATTGCTATTCTAACCTGGAATACATGCATAGTATTCTATTGAAAACTATTGAAACAAAAGTCAACATTAGAATGTGAAATATAGAAATGTTTCACAGAAATCATGCTTAAGAATAAATGACTGATAGACCAATGTTTTATAACAAAAAACAAACGCAATCTGAAACTTTGCAAAACTATTGAATTCTTTCCTTTACAGAATTCCCTACCTGCAGAAAATTTGAAAACTCTTCAAACACCAGTTTTAGCCTTTGTTTTCTTATAATACCAAATATTTGACATTACATCGATGTGTAGGATGGATGTGGGTGTGGGTGACTATGGATAAAAAAATATTCACACTCGCACCCACATCCACACTTACACCCAAAATTTCAAGGAAAATTTTGATAAATGGAAAACTAAATAGATAAGGACAAAAGAAAAAAAATTGCACTTCGAGACCATAATTCCATAGAAAATAACTAGACTACGCTTATTGTATTACTGATTTTTTTTCAATGAATAGTGCAATCATTTTTAGAATAGAGTTCAATGATAGAATTGAATGATATTATATGCCATAATAACAAATTATGAAAGTATCACTCACCGTTCTTTTGTACTTGATAACACATAATCAAGTTTATCAAAATCGTCAAAAACATTATCGTTATCATAGTCGTGTGTAGAATTTTTGTTGGCACTGTATGTTTACTTATTCATAGCCCAATTCAATTCAATTATTATCATTTATTTTAAAAGTAATCAAAATTATATTGAATTAACATGAATTACAGTTAACTTTTCGAATATTTTTCATACTTTGACAATACATACATCATATTTTGAAATTTCCAAAAGAATTTTTATAAATAGAGCCCTATAATACTTAGTCAGATGATTTTTTAGTGACAAAGTTATAAAATGACATTTAACAGAAAACTTTTCTCCCAATAATAACCAGAACTGATAAAACCCGACTATTTAGATATAGTCAATTACGAGAAATTTTCTAACGAGAATCAATTCATGATAATAATCTGACAAGTTCGTTTCTGATGATAAAATTCGTTATCTCCCACTTAGATATCTTCCACCACCATTTTCCATAATAAAATAATTTTGAATTGAAATGTTAAATAACAAAGTCTAAACTCATGATGAAGATATGAGGTAATACAATGGCTAATACAACATAATGCTTGTTGAAGAATTCAAAAAGGTCATTGAACTTCAAGATCCTCCTATTTACACAGAAAATAAATCACAAAGTATATCAATAAATTATATACACTTGTTTGTAGTCGAGCACAGTCAAATACAAACGTTAAAAGCATACTTAAAGTAATAGCGATATCGTTTGATAGCCCATGAGCTGCTCAGCAGGAAAACAGCATTTTAGCCTTAGCAAATGCTTCTTTCCGATCGAAAAATACAAAATACTCGAAAGGCGTTGTTTCAGATTCAGCATCAAAAACTGAGTACAGACAAGTCCTTAAATCAATTATAGATCCAAAACTCTATTAGTGGTGGTTCGAATCTTGTCGAATGCACTACATATAGGTTGATTTTGTAAACCTATCTATCAGTTACAAATTCTTGCTGAATAGTTCTAAGTTTTGAAGAATTTCTAACAAAATAGAACAATTACAATTTATTGATTATCAACAAAGAAAGTTAATTTTCATAATATATAATAAAATAACAATTTACATAAGGAATTTTGGTGAGAGAATATTCTGCATCTGTCAGTATTGTATAACAAAGCAAGATTGACATTTAGTGTTACGATGAGATCGAAAATTTTCTACTAATTGAAAAAGAATATTATCTATATCGACATAGTTTAATTCAATCAGATGTAAATAGAAACTAAATCGATGAAGTGATGGTAAATACGAACTAATTAATGATGCACACCAATCATAATTTAATAGACAGTTTTTCACAGTTGAACTGAATATATGACGATACATGCAAAGTTGTTCGAGATTGGGTACACATGAAAGATAACTTTTAATAACATGATCATTCCAAGAATGAGCAAAAAAATCATTTTTTAATGTTAATCGTTTAATATTTAAATGTGATTTAATATCAGAAGGTATTTCAGTCTCGGTAGATATGATAAATTTAAATGAATATAAATTCGGACATAATGATAGAATGTATTTATAATCAAATAAATTAATATGTCCAACTTCTAAAAAACGTAATGATGTCATTTGTATCCATTCTCGTGTTCTTCTTATCGTCGTCATATTCGATAAATAACAATATTGTAAATGAGATAAATCATTTGAAAATATTTTATCAAATATTGCAGGTAAATCATTTGAAGATAATAAGTACATATTTCGAATAGCAAGATATTTTAAACAAGTTAAAATATTTTTATTAAGTTGTTTAATTTGTTCGAATGTTGGATGTACTAATATAAGAGAATGTATATGTGTAAAACAAGTGAAATCAATATCAATTTTATTTTGAATTATTAATTTATTAATATAAGAAATAAGTATTTTATCATATTCATTTAAAGTTTGATTAGAATTTGAAATTGTAAGAGAAAGATGTTTGAGTGATAGAAGAAGATTATTCAAACGAGTATTTATGTTGAAAAATGATCGATACAAATCTCGAATATCAAAATATTCAAATAAAATTATAAGAATTTCGTTAGGTAAGAATTCGAATTGGAAAGATCTGTTGTTCATCATTCACACATATATCTAGAAAAAAAAACAAATAACAATTCTAACGAAATTAATATGGAACTTTTTCACTATTATTTTCATTTAATGTATAATGAAAAACTGAATAACTTCATCATTCTCATTGTGTCTATTTCAAATCAGACACAAGTTTCTATAGAAAAGAAAGAGAAAATAATTCATATACAAAGAGCATCAGAAGTGAATGAACAGGCAGACATAATGATGTATCGGTCACGACACATACGAGCGGACAATAGGTCAGATGATGTGTCCGGTGAAGGCACTTCCATTCTCGGCATCCGTGCCTATTGTTGATTCTTTTTATTCTATTCATTCGTAAAAATCGATAAAAACTGTTCAAACGAGAACTCAGATTAAAAAATTCTGAAAAAACATTTGCAATCATTTGGGTGTGGGTATGGGTTAGGTGAAAGAGAACACCCACCCCCACAACCACCCCCACCCCCACCCCACACCCACACCCACATCCACCCTACATCCACACCCACCCACACCCACACCCACCCTACATCCACACCCACACCCACACATCCACACCCACACACCCACACCCACCCACACACACACCCACACCCCCCCCCCCCTCATTTTGTCATTGTCGTCTGCGAGAACAATGATTATATTAGATAACGATGAATGGATGATAGAATTTTTCTTTCTATCTAACATTTTTCATTCTTTATTCGTAATCTATTCGTCAGGTCATTCTTTTTTTGTTAGAATGTTTAACATGTATTATGCTCTTTATAGAACATATTTTCATCTTAAAAATAAGATCTAATAGCCCAACTACACATTAGAAGTTTACTCATAAATTCTTAAACCTATCGTTGAATAATAGACCACCATTGATTTTATTTGGTTAAATTCAAATAGTAAATATTATAAAAATGTAAGAAACAGAGACTATTTTATTGCATCTGACCGAATGGTTTTATACATAACATCAATTATAACGTCAATGAAATCGTGTTTTTAATTGTGGGCCTCATTAATCGCTCTTAAAAAAATAGAATAAACTATAAATGTAATTCATAGCCCACATAAAAGAATCAATGAAAATAGTCCATATCTAATCGGATTGAGAAGTCAACAAATAATTGTTTTCAACTGCAATTCTTGATTATTATACTGAACAGTAAATGGAGATTTTATAGAAAAAATGAGATGAATATTGCTACTTAGTATGTTTAAGTTTGAGAACCCATTCCGAGGAAGAAAACCTTTAAAAAATGTTATCTCAGAAATGGATAAGCCTCACATGTTGGATTCATTTGAAGAACACTTATGGGAGAGTCCATGAATGTATCGAGAAAGGCCATTTATGGAAAAAATTGACATATACTTTTTTTTTATATCAATCGATTCCTCACACAAAACTGGGGTTATGAAAAGTTGTTTAGACTCCTGTGATGTAATTTGACGGAATTATATTGGTGAACTCATTATTATTTGATATTTATTCAATTCTTTTATGTTGACAAGGACTTTTGTATCCTATTCAGTATTAGAATAATATTTTAAAAAAATGCTTGATTTTATAAGTCTCTCTGAATTGAATTATGTCTTCCTTTACCAAGGTTTTAGTCGTTAGTTTGAACAGTAAGCTACATAAATTTGGTAATCGTTTTAAATATTTTGAACATATGTTTTGAGTATGTTTCTTTTTTTTCAACTCTTGATTTTTCAGTAATATGCAAAATGTTCATTCGAATTCATTCTGTAGTATAGTATTGAAATGACATTGTAGTAATAAATATGTATTACATATTGTTGTCTGTATGTCTATTCTATTTTTTATCATCGTAATTTTTTTGTCAAATGAAAAATCTGAATATTGTTAGTCTATTCTATAGAAAACAGACAAATGGTCTTAAATATGATTTGCATCGCTAATTCTAGACGTAAGAATAAATTTTATTTTCGTTGCCAATGAAAGGAGATCAAATGATTTTATAATACAAATCTTATGAATTTTCAAAGAAGGCTGAATAAAAGTTGAAAAGGCAGGATGCTCATCTATTTGTGTACTTCTAGTTTATTTCTCTGGATTATTTATGTTTATGTAGTATTGTGATGTTCATAATTAAAACAATCATATAAAAAGCAATAATACAAAATTGTTTTTGACATGATCTTATTTTTTACTTGAGGGTGTGGGTGTGTGGATATGTATTGTGTGGTTATGTGCGAACAGAACACTCCACATCCACACCCTCCGTGTCGTTAAACCGATTGACCACCTTGTTCATTTTCTCTCATACGTATCTTACTCTTTTATGTAGAGTGTCATGCTACAATTAGTGAGTAGAAATTCGATATTGTTCAATTCCAAATAGTTCACCAAGTTGCAAATTTTTCTTTTCAATTTTTGTTAACAATGACTCCAGTTTGAAATTAATACTAGATTGGAATGAGATGTTCGCTACGAATGTATATTTCCTTAAAATTTTTTTCAAATGAAACTAAAAATTTTTTCGATCTAAAGTTGTATTAAAAATTAAAGATTCTATTTTCTTGAAAAATCTTTGATGGCTGATGAATGATCATTATTTAAATCATAGATGAAATCCCAAGTGTAGATTTAATTCAGCGATTTATACTGCAAAAAACATCTTGAATATGCTAATTTAAAATCCTACCGATGTCCCATGAAGAATAGGATATACGAAGATTTTATAAATATTTCAATCAGTTTCCATCATTCTGACTAGAACATATTTTTTTTGTCAAAAGATTTTATGCTTAATATTCTTTAAAAGCGGAAGTTCTGATGTCTTGCAAATAGGTCCTAGAAAACACCTCAGTTCAGCAGATTTTAGCTCTTAGCAGTATCGATTGTTTAATATACTATCGATATCAAAAGCTTCGCACCATTTTTTTATTGTGAGTCGTGTATTTAAACTACACAACCTTAATTTAATTTGATTATATGCCTGTAGAGCGAAGATCGAGTACTATATACATACACCTGTTTAATACGAAAAATCCTTGAATATGAAATAAAATTTAAAAAAAAACAAAATGATATTATTGTTAGGATAATTCCATCAGCAGTCAACCACAAAAAACACAAAGTATGAAGCAAACTTTTCATTTTATCGGACTTTGTAGAGCTTTTTCCACTGATTATTTTAGTATAAAAAAAACATTTTGGATTTCACTGAGAAATGAGGGTGTTATAGTCAAAATATTAAACACTGAAATATCGGGTGTCCCAAAATATTTGCAACAGTTTGTTTGTGAATATTTCTGCACAGACTAATGATAAAATCTTTTTTTTTTCAAAAAATGTACCGTTGAAAGCTCTATACAGTCTGTATAAACAATTCCTATTGCAAAACAAAAAAAAGTCTTCCAAGCATTTTTATTATCTTTTTGTCTTTTCTTTTTCGAGACTGAACTTTATTGTTTTTTTATTGCATTTTATACTCAAGATTTTTTCGTACTAAACAGATATATACATATATATAGTACTCGATCTCTGCTATACAGGCATATAACTAAATTAAATTAAGGTTGTGTAGTTTAAATACACGATTCAAAATGAAAAAGTGGTACGAGACTTTTGACGTCGACAGTATTGCTTGTTTCTTCTTTATTTATATACTTATACCATGTATATGTTGGCCTCTAGCCAAGGTTCGACATCAATCATTATTTCGTAGTTGAATTTTCAACTTTTTTTTTTTCCTTTCATTCTTCTTCGAATTGATTATAAATACAATATCTTTTTATTAATGAAGTTGTTGTTTTCTTCTATTCTACCTGCGATGAAGTAAAAGGAACTGTAACAGTCTTCTCTCTATTCTATTCTTCTCATCATTTTCTTTTGCTTCTTTCGCCGTTGCGCTACTGTGTCCATTTGTTCCTTTGTTTATTTGCCACTATACACTTCATGTTGTTATCTTGTCCCTTATTTACATTATCAATGTTTGTTGGTTCACTCGTTTTGTTGTATCATCCTCTCTCTCTAGTTTATGACTTTCTGTTCGAGAATTATAGATCTTCAAAGTTTTCAAAAGCATTGGCTGGAATTGATCCTATTTTTTTAATATTTCCGAAAGAAAATGAGATTTTTAACAATCTTAGATCAGGTATTCTTCAAGAAGAATACAACCAGAGTGTAAGAGCGTCTTTTTTCCACATTCACTATCGCTCAATACGGTAGAATGCAAAGAAGTTAGATATCCATAACTTTTTCTGTGCATATAAGTTCAAGAACGCAAGGATTTGCCGTATTCAAGTAGTAAAAAACCTCTGAGTCAGTATCTAAAACATGAGCTAAATTGGACAACTGTCAGAATGAGGAAGTATTTATAGACACGGAGAATACTCTCTTCTGATGCTTTGTGCTTCGTTTCATGTAACATCCTCGAAATAAAAAAAAGCAGTTGTTTTAGTTTGTGTTCGATTGGAAGTGAAAGAAGCGAAAAAGAAGAGAAGAATGTAGGAGTGTCGAGTAACTATATATCGACTTCAATTCTCAATAAGAACCGTACTTCTCTTTTATTATTTGACATAGATATAAAAGAGAAATGGTTGGCTCCATTCAGCTTGCGCTGTTCGTCTTCTTACACCTCATCATCCCAACAGCGTCAATCAAATGCTATTGGGCGTATGGAAAACATGTGAATGCAACTCCTGCGTCGAACAAAGATGGGAGCTCCTCGGAATCAGTCGGATATAGTAGTCCAACTAAAACTCCTGAGAAAGAATCATGTTCGGTTGTTGGCTGTGCTTGTTTCAGCTATAAGACTGTCTGTTCCTCTTTATCACCAACGACAACACGCTATTCGCCATGTAACGACCAAGATCAACAGAATAGGACAATTAAATGGAAGTGGGGATGGACATCGAATGCAACATGCGAACAAATGCGTGAAAATCCCGAAATATATCTCAATTTAATCTGTTGTCACACGGACTTATG